GAAATTTGTCAACATTATTGAATATGTCCTTGAGCTCTGAAAATGGAGGTCTGAGATGAGAACAAGTGCAGCTCCTCTGGAGAACGTGGAAAGGCAGCCTGCAGAAAGGCATGTCTATATGTTGACCTATCTGTTGTGAAAATAGGGAAGAAAGCCAATCATTCCCAATTCTGCAGACGTTCTGACAGCTAAAGTAGGCATTAACAATTTGCAACACATGGCATGGGGGATGAAAGTCTCTGAGCTCTGCAGCTGAGAGTTTCCTGGCTGAAATGAAGTAGCAGTTGAAAGTAGCTCAGAGAAAAACCTATTTTATTATTCACCATGTAGGGACAAAATGGATAACATTACCAAAAACCGGGAAAAAAATAAAGTCACAACTCAAAAATAGTAACATGTTCTGCTGAGGTTTTTTGGCCTTTATACGGGGATTTTCCTGACAGAGAAGAATCAAGTTTTAGTATACAGGTTTCTGCCATTATATAATAATCTCAAGTCCGCTTTGAATGGACTTGGTACGTAAAAATAATTTTGTTGCTAATATATTGATGCAGAACTAATCATTTTGGATTTCGATTGGCCCATAGAGCTGCAAGAGTCTCACAGTGTTATCCTGTCAGGCACAGGTTTCGCTGGACTTGCCTGCAGAGCCCTGTGCAGCCTCAGCCAGGCTAGTCGGGAAAAGGGTCGGCAGTACAAGCAGGAAGGTTTGCCCGGCCAAATCTTGGGGTGGCGAGAGCTGTTTCTTTAAAGGACTTAAATTGGGCTCTACTGATTTACACCAGAACTCCTCTGCAAGGTTAAAAAGCTGTTGTGTTTCTTGCTTAGGCCTTCAGAGGGAGCGAAGGTTATTTGTATGAATAATTCTGAACTAGAATAAGTTGAGACGGAGAAGTAGCAGATGAATGTTTTCAGCAGTTGCTAATATAATTTACATGCATTGAAGATGTGGTCAGGTATATTTGGAGAGGCATCAAGTTTCTCTAAGGTGAAAAACAGAATCAAAAGCACAGGAAAGAATGCCATTACTTAGAAAAATTGAACAGCCAAGAGAAGGAAATACATATTTGAATTTTGATTATTTTTCAATAATTCTGGGTAATTGGTATAGCAGCAAGCAAATTAGGCAGGTTAAAAGTGAAATTGTATGATAAATGTGAAAACAGTTTCGACTTTAAATTTGGAGACAAGTTAGTATTATCTTCACCAGCGTGAATCTGTGAAAAATGTTTTCATCACCATTTACACTGCTTGCTTTTGATTTTATTTCAGTTAATAAAATAATTCTTAGACATATACGCTCTGTTGACGTTAGTCATTGCCGAGTGTTGAACATAATGGGGACCTAGACAATAATAATTTCATTATTCTTTTTGTAGTTGTGGGTAATAATAATAATTAATTGTGCTGTGGAAAGAAGAGATCCAGGGAGATACCTGATGATAATTAGGAAAGACTGTGTTGTATCTGGAGCACCTCCATTGGTTTTGATGTGCAGGTTGGGTTTACTAAAGGTATTAATATCTTGTCTTCACTCTTTACGCTAGCATTCCCTTTTCGCATACATTTAAGTTGTGGAGTTTCAATTAAAATAAAGAAAGAATTAAACCTTGGGCTCTGACACCAGTGAAAAGTGCTACTTTTTGTGGGGAAAATTTGTACCAGTGCCTATTTTTCGTGGGGTCTTACTACTGTCAATGCTCTTCAACTGAGAGCAATTTTATATCTGCTGCTGCTGTTGTTGTCATAGTATTTGCGTCACTCCAGTGTCTGCTGGACTCCTCCTCTCTTTCAGTGGCATTGCCCGTCTGTGGGAATTCACGGTTGGGAGACGCAGGTCCTGGGCAGAGCTGCAGCAGGGGGGATGGTTAATCAGGGCTTGGGCGTCCTCCCGTACCGTTCCCCGTTAGTGACATGGAAGTAATATGTGTACAAGAGCACCGCTGTGATCCTGCTCAGCCAGTGGAGATAAATTGTAATAATTGGGTGGTGAGGCAGGAGCTGGCGCGAGGTGTGACGGCAGAGACAAAGGGAACAGGAAATCGCCATACGGCGTCATATGCTCCTTCTCAACCTTAATTTTGATTGCAGCTGTCAGCGTGGCATTATGGTTCTTGAATGTGCTGTTGTATTGAGCTCAGTGTGTGGGAGAGCTTTTTTTGAAACTGAAACAATGCTGGAAAATGATTGGCATAAGGTTAGCTTTAGACACGTTGCAGTTCCTGAGGTAGTTGCATAAGAAACAGCAATATGAACTTATTGATGAGGGGATTTTTGAATTAGTTAAGATTTGCATTTTTCATCCATGTCTTGTTCTAAGTCTTATGTGAGTTAGAAGTGCTAGGAGATACAGTTGAGAAAGCATATTCCCTTAACTCTAGTTTCTTAAGCTCTATAACAAGTATTCTGTTTTTCTTTCATCTATTTGCTCTCCTTTACTGCCACACTTGTATTCTTTTGCAGTATTAAGGATGTTATACCTGTACTGGCTTGAAATGCATTAGGAAGAAAATGTTAAAATAGTGCTGCAGGAGAAAGAAAATATACTGAACTTAACAAAAGATACACCGTTATCATGACCAGAGAGAACTGAGATTGCAATGGTTTCTCATGCTCTTTTACCAAAAACATTGTTTTGTGGAGGCATAAAAACATAACTGACTATTGACCCCTCTGTCTGCAGCCATATATAATGCTCAGGATTGAGAGAGATGAATTTCCTGTCTGTACGGAGGTACTGCAGATAAACTCTTCTTGCTTTAATTTGAACAAAACTCTTCAGAGTAATTCTGTGTATTTTTCTTCAAAGTTTATGTTATTTAGTTTGTATTCTTGAGCCTTTAGTAGGGCTAGTATTGGCTTAGAGTTACAAAGTGAAACTGTAGTGACTTTGGACACATAGTTCATAAATTAGTAGTTTTATGGCTATGCTAGTGATTTTAATATATATGTATTTTAGCTGAACTTTTTTTGTTGCACATTCTTCTAAACTGAATGTTATCTTAGTTTTTTCTCCTGCATGAATTTATAAAACAAACAGAAATGTGTAGTGCTAGGCAACAGAGAAGTAAACTCAAACATACATATACATACATAAAAACTTTCATGTAAAAATCATTTAAATAACACTTCACCAAAATAATCATAGGTGCATGGTGACTCATTTTTTGGTATTCACATAAAAACATGCTCTGAGCAGCCTTAGATTGAGATTTGTGAAATTAGTTGAATCCATCTACTTACATGGCACATTTGAAAAGGTGAGATTTGCATTTGAAAAGGATGAATCAGAACTAAAAATAGATTAGATAGAGATTCTTCCCCCTCCCAAGGGTCTGGAGTCATTTACTGTAGCCATTAACATCTAACATGATTTCAGGTGAAGTGTTTCCTCAATAAATTTGAGTAACATTTTCATTTAAGAAAAGGAGCAAGAAGGAGCAAAAGCAGAATGTCAGAGAAGTGTCAGAGAGCTTTTTTGTTTCTTAAAGCCTTCATGCATACTTACATTGGTTCTAGATTGTTTTTTATTATTATTTTCACTAACAACAACAACAACAAAGTTTGGGATGCAGTCCACCTAAATCTTGCCCAAATGGGGACTTTATTTCCTAAAACTTGTCTGGATCCCAGACAACAGCACAGTTTGAATACTTCCTAGGACTGTTTAATCTTATACCCAACTTCTTTAAGTATCTCCTCCTCAGGCTGAAAATTTGATAAAGTAATTTTTACTTCTGTATGCTCAGAACTGTCTGCTTTGGCAGAATGGGCAGATCTCCTATTTAGACTTCTTTTTTAATTCTGGGCTTAAGTAAACAGACCATGAAATCCACCTCAATACAGTGGAAAAATCGGAAGAATGCATCCCTTTTTTTTAATAGTCCACTGGATAAAGCCCTCATCCAAGGAGTGAGGCGGTGAAGTTTTGGGTTCTGCTGAGACTGATGATGTTTTAGCTGCATCATAAGAGACTGCCTATACCAACAAATCTGATGCTGACTACAAAAGGTGATGAAGTTTGTGATGTGTGTATGAAATAGGGGCTGAACCGGACATCCCCCTCCCGAGGCTGATTCTAACAACTAGACACATCCCCATCCATCTGGTGCTGGAGAGGATTTTTCTTTAGGTGGTTTCTTACAGGAATATATTAGCAGGATAACCATATCTGGAACTTTTATCGATATTAATTTGAGGGTTTTGTGGTGTTTTACTGCACATGACGTAAAAGCAGAAATTCTCTTTAATTATGTGATATTTAGTTATTAGATAATTACATGGGCAAGTTCTATGAACTAAAGTGTTACCATAACATCTAAAATCTAGAAATCGGGTAACAATTATGTTTGGAGTTATATCATTATTTCAAGTATAATTACCATCAGATTGGCAGTGCATGTAATTAATGAGCAATCACTGGAATTTGCCTTCATAGCTGCACTTCCCTCTTGTTGTAAAGTTCTTTGTCACAACATTTAAGTATAAAGATAACATAAATTGACCTCCACATGTGTTATACTAAAACTCAAAATACTTCCACTGCAGTACTAGCTCCTTAGTGTTCTAAAAGTGTAGTTTCATGGAGAAAACAGAGAAAGGACAGTGTGCTGTGAATGGGGAAGAAGTGGAGCAACCTTTCAATAGATACCAGCTGGTGAGGTAACTCTTTTCCATAGCTGTCCAAAGTAACCCTTTTTTCTCCATTAATGCTAATTTGTAACTACCTGAAATTCTGCTAAGAGTAAAGTATTTCAAAATCTCCTCACATCATCTACTGTCTTCCTTCCATTGTAAGGAAAGTTTGATTAACAAAATTTCATACAGAAGAGAAGAATCTGTAGTTCACTCTTGGGTTCCAATTGAACAGAGCTTCTTTTTTCTTTCTTAAAAATATTGCTTATCTAGGACACGCTTTTGCCAAACTTTGAAGTTATTAAAGAGTGGGTTTTCTTCTTTTTTTTGTTTGTTTGTTTGGTTTTTTTTTCATTATTTATTAGGTTTTACCTGGCGAGATGATTATACACAACATGTTATTGGTCAGGAACTCTCAACCATTCACAAAATCCACAACAGACGCCCTGATATATTGGCGTCTGAAGGATCTGATACAGGAAGGTAAGTCTTCAATGGTTTTTTTGCCTAGTAGGTTTTTGGGAGGGTTTGCAAATGATGAGAAATAGATTGGCACTGAAGCTGAATTAAACACATCACCAAACCCACTATCTATATGATAAAGGGAAACCAGTCGTACGACAGCACTGAAAACACCAGTAGAAAAACAGCAAACAGAATGAATGAAAACACTCAACCCTGTTCTGATTATCATCAAGTTCAGATAATATGCCTTCTTTTGTTAATCTAGATGTCAGAATTCAAAACATCAGGTCTTTTATTCAGTTTATGCAGTGTCAAGTGTCAGTTCGGCCAACTCTACTTATGACTGGCTTAAAAAAGCAGAGTTATATAGTAGCTCATCCACAGGAGATATTTTATTCTGGAATAAGCCAGTAAAAAGAACCAAAAAGAAGTATTGAATGACATTCTGAGCAACTAATTATATTTTCAAATTCATATTCCTCCAAAACAAAGCTGTAATTGATTCCAAGTCCATAGATTCTTGGCTTTAGTTGCAAAATTTGTCCAGGAAGGAGAGATTCATGCAAGTTCCCATGACAGAAAACAAGGGTGGGATATTTCTATCTATTCTTTGCATTATAGAAGCCATTTTCCTCATGGCTTGAAAGATATTGAGGGGTGACTTAGCAGTTATTGGTGGCAAGAGACACAACATATATAATTCTGTAGAGTCATATGGATGTAGGACCTGCAATTATATCATCTTCATATACAGATACACACATAAATGTACTCTTTTACCTGGTCTATTCTGTCCTACAGGTTTTTAAGTGCAGCCCAACCACACAAACCCCAGAAGGAAAGTTTAAAATGCATAAAATTTTAGGAATGTTATAAATGGTAAATTTTGCTTCCTCCTACATAATTTTAAGAAATGCAATCTCAAAATTAGTGAAATTGAAAAAGAGTGCTTTTTGTTAGAAAACTTTCTTCATAGTGCGACAAAGCTTGAGCTTTTAGCCTTGATGGGCAAGATGTTGACTGTTGGACTTTAGATCTTCATGTACTGCAGTATGTAGTTTGCATGTACTGCAGAACCATTTCTTTTCTAGATTGCTCTTTTATGGAAATAAAAATGCTGTGTAATTGATACTGCCCAGTGGCTTCAGCTATGTTTGCCTCAGTATGTTTTGATTTAATTCGTAGAATTTGACCCTGTATTTAACATATTTGCTGATTCAAAAGCATTCCTTAAAATCACAGCACCATACATTTCAGGAGTGCAGTAAGGTAGAAACTTAACTTCTAAAGAAGATACTGATCTATAGATTATCATAAAGGCGATAACAACATGTGGTTGAATCCATAAACATGTTTTCACTGCTTAGATACACAAAATGCCATTACTGTATGGATTACTCTCTGCACATGGTATCAGAAATTATTTTGAATCTCTTCTGGAGGCTTTTTTTTTTTTTTTTAGAATGAATGTGTCTAAAACTTTTATTCATGAGAGTATGATAAAATAGGCCAGATTTCCATGAGACCAAGACTGTATTCTGCAGCGTTCCAGATTCACAGTTATAAAAAAATAAAATGTCTAAGAAGATATAAGAAATAATTTAATTTTTAGACAGAGAACAGATGATCACTTTTAGGAGTTCCTGTTGTGATCAGGTTTGAGCTGTTTTGCATTTTTATCCAGAACTGTACATTAAAAAAAATAACCCATTTTGTGTATTGACACTTCAGGAACATCAGAATTTCAAATGCGTTCCACTTATAACAGTTCCTATTGTGGATAGATTTTCTGAAGTTACCAAGCTGTGCTTCTGAAAGCATTATCTTATGTGCCAACAGTTTAAAGCCTTAATTGATTTTTCTGGTTGTCCATTTACAATATATTCTGTAGGTCAGAGAACAGTAGGAACTTTTTCTCCGGTGTCTTGCAGATTCTGATCAAGTTTGCTATATGCTCAGTGTGCTCAATGCGCTTGCTAAAATCTTACCAGATAATAATTAAATAATTAAAAAAGCAACTTAGTGTAGGTATCTAATTATCAAAGAAACATTATGGCAGGAAGACCTTTTGTTAAGGGTAAAGTGTGTAATAAGACAATATGAAGTCATACTAATGAGTCATTAATCCCCACAGAGCTAGTGAGAGCAAGAAAATAGACTCAGACACTTGAAAGGTAAATTGACTTAGGCTAAATTAGTGCGTATGAAATCTGATGAAACAGAAGACATGGATTTCATCTTAAAAAAAATGCTGAAACTGGGAGCTTGATTTCAAGATGAAAGTTCTTTCTTTGGTGGCTAACTGGAGTGTACGTGGTATTTCCTGGGCCCTTATTAAATTTCAAAAAAACCCACTCTTGAAAGAGGATCCAAGATAAAGGAAAAAAGTCCATTCTGCACACAGGGAATAAATGTCAGTTGCGTTCATTGGTGCAATTAGGCAAAACCACAAACGTTTCCAGCAAACTTCAATATATGAAATGGGGTATAGCATTATTTCTATAATAAAACCATCATTAAGTCAGTAATAAGATTCTCACAGCATTTAAAAGGAAGAAACTTTATTCTAAAAAGTGTGGTATCTATTAATTGAGAATATTCTAGAAGTATCTGAGGTGCAGTGACTGAGATTTCCACACAAAAGCTTCTAAAACGCTGTTTTTTGTAGGAAATACATGATTATTTCTATGGATAAATAATTATATATGTTATTGTCTTTATACCCTAAAGTTCATTGTATGCAAAGTCCTTTTTCAGAACAAATTAAAACTGAAAATACTTCCAAATGAGTGCACAACAAGAACTCAGCTGACAGTCATTTCTCCTACTCACCAGGTGCTTTTATATATTTGTCTTTCATCCATTTTCCAATATCACTTTGTCAAATTTGAAAGAAATATTTTAATTCAGTTGCAATAATAGCTCATTTAATGTATTTTACTTTCTGTGTTAACAGGGTGAACAACAGTGATATACTGGTGAACTACAAAAATTTTAAAAAATCTTTCAGTGTATGCATAGGATTTATTGAAGTTGTAATGCTTTGTCAGACTTCTACATTTTAATTGTTTAAAAGTTTATAGCATAAGATACTACATCTAATGTGAAATTTACACACAATTTGAGTGCAATTACTGTCTCCGTAAGAAAAATGAGAAATCTTAGACCCCAGATTTTGCTTCTACCACCAGTATGAGGGATTATATACTGTAAATAATGGCTTGAAAAGCTAAGGTAAATACTGTCTTTTATCTGTGCATTCAGTTCCCATTAGCTCCAGTAGAAATCCTTGGGGCAGAATTTGGTCTGGTACTTGCATTTCCCTTTCTTTTCAAAGTTAGCGAAGAACGGAAAAGATAGGTGTTGGAATTAATTGATGAATGAAAGATGAGTGTTTGAAACTAGGATACCTTCTGTGATGAGAGCCTCTTTGGATTAGTTCATCTCTATTGAAGCAGAAAGTCTACTGCCCAGCTCTTTCTAAAACTGCAGAACCGTTTTAGTCTGGCTTTAGGTGGAAAAGGAGGTGGATAATATTACCTGCATGTCCACCCTCCATCATAAGGCAGAATTTACAGCTCTGGAATAAGAGAAAAATACAAACAGCATGAGGAGGAAGCAAGACTTGTGGTGAATGACATGAAGATCGCTATAGTGCTCTGTGCAGTAAACCTTTGTTTTCCTAGAGTTTGTGTGCCTGACGGGGAGCTGGTTGTTTTACACTGGGGAGAGGTGGAGGGTTTTTCTGGTACTTCAAAGTGAGCAACGCTGTGAGCACCATTGGTTGCAATGCCACCACAGTAAATTAGATTATTAATTACATTTATTGGTATTAAATTAGTCGGGACATGCATTTGATACAACTGTGAGCATGGAAGGACGTCTGTTACTTTGTGCATAAAGTAATTAAACCCAAGATTCAGAAAATGCCATAATGGTACTCTCCCAAGCTGTGCTCCTACATAAGCACCGTGACGTGGGCTAGTAGAATAAAATCTTGCTTACAGGGGCACAGAGACGTTGAAAGCCAAATGATGCCTCATGTCCCTGAGCTGGAAAGCTCTTCCACCTGGAATTGTTCTTCACTGAACAAGTGTGTGGGCCTGTGGGTAGGAAATAGTGACACCGAAAAGGTGATTTCCCTCAAAAGACTGTGTCACTCATAGGGAAGGAAGCAGACTGGGAACCCTGTCTCTGCTTTCTTGCACAAGGAATGAAATAGCTACTGGTGTTGACACTTAAATTATCATCATCATTGACACTTGCCGAGATAGACGAGGAGAGCCAGTAATAATTCAGATTCATTGCCCACAGCGCTCTGAGTCCCATATAAACACCTCTACATTGCTGTTGTTTAATCGCATTTTTAGCTTTTCTTTGCAAACGTCACCAAGATCTGTCTAAACCAGTCAGGAAACACTGCTATTCTGTGAATCCCAGGCACATGAGAAGATCAGAAGAGATACTTGTTCCATCTCATTATTCCCTTTTCAAGTCTTTTGCTGAGGCTGACTTGCTCAGTTATTTCTGCACATCCAGTAGTCTCACTGCATTCTGTAAATTGGTGCAGGGCCAAATTGATGTTGAAACTCATCACCATCCAGCAATTTTTTTAAATCTTAGAACTATCTCATATTTCTTTGGGGTGCGATTTAATCATGCATGTTTTCTTTTTACAAACATTTTCTTTTCTTTCAAATATGGCTTTGCCTTGATGTAGGCATTTTATTTGATTTACTGTTGGATCATTAACTTTGATTCATGCAATAAATTGTTAATAGTGCGAGATTTTTTGACTGCTTTTGCTGAAACATTGAATTTTCTATACTTTTGTGGTTGCTAAGCTTTTGAGTGACTTTTTTGTTATGTATGGAACTAACTTCAGTGGTTTGCAGTGCCTTTTTAGTTGGGCGCTTTGTATGTTGTACAGGCTGGTAACTTGCTTTTCCTTGCTTTTGCTGTGCAGGACTTTGGGACAGAATGCAGATAATGAAAGAAATTATGATCTGGAAAATGATGTGAACTTGGCCAAGTCTCTTCAGCAATATCTTAAATATCTCAGTATTCTCTCCCAGTCTGCAGCTACAAATTTGTATCCAAGGAAGACAAATGACAAAGCTTCTGTCAAGGTAGTATTTTTAATGTGGTTCCTACATTCTGTGATTTTGGCTTCCTTCTTTTCTGAATTCTCCTTATTTTTCAATTTTCCCTTCTGTCTCAAGACCAGACATTGTTTCTTACTGCCTCCTCCAATTGATTATCATAACTGCACCAACCAAGTTCTCTCCAAATGAGATGGGCGAGCTTCAGTGTTGTAAAGGATAGAGCTCTTCTAATCTGGAGCATTTTACCTTAATTAGGGATCCATTGTATGTGAGGAAGGAGGAAGAGTGGGATAGAGGTGATATCTTCACTGGCTGATCTGAAACCCTTCTTACAGCATCTGAGCTGCTCCTCTCCAGAAAGCTGGCTGAACTACCCTGTGAATTCTTGCTGGTGTTTATGGCGCTTAAAGTACAATTAATATAGTCTTTGAGCAAATTTTAATAATGGATCTGACAAATTGTGCCTCAACATTTCCTACTTCTTATTGATCATAAAGGAAGCCTATCGTGACCAATTAAAGTTCATATGTATACATTATAAATATACAGGTAGCTAGGAAGATAAATCACAGCCATTACATCCTGAGTATTGGCTGTATTAAAAAACTACACAAATGCCTATTTGAGGACTAAAACAATTTTTTTCTTTCCTAGGGAAAATCTGTCTCGCTCTAAGACGGAGCTTGATACATTTGTAAAAATGATTGGATGAAGGGGTTGCATATGACAGGCCCTTATAGCTGTATATCTTTTGCTCAAAAAATGTGTTAATCCAAAGCACTCTATTATTTTAAAGAAATAGGCTGCTATTATAGTGATCCTTTTAAAAAAATGGGTACGTGCTATTTGCATGAATACAGTGTAAATGCAACAACCTTAGCTAAAAAATATACTCAGGTTTTAGTATAAAAAAATCAATATAAAGTATAAAAAAGTATAAAAATATATTTTTAGTATAAAAAAAATCAGGTGAAGAAAATATAGGGTCAAAGCCAAACTGCTAGTTTTTTCCCAGAACTAACAGAGACACAGAACTACTGCAGTGCATCTGCAACAGCAACTCCCAACAGTATCAGTTGTATCAGCTACTTAGTCATGGTATAACTGAAATGTTATTATTCTTGTCAGAAGCCGCAAGTTTCCAGTTTCACTGATTGGTATATATAACACTTATGATTTATGGCGTATGTCATTAGGTGTTCATTTGGGGTAAGAGAAAATTGCAGGCAGCAGCAAGGCAGCTTTGGGGATGGATGAGTGACCACCTTCGTGGTACTTTTCCTCCACTCTCTACTCCTGGGCGCTAACTACAGTGAGGATGCCCTGCTTTGAATCACTGGCTTTCAGAGACAAGAAAACTTGCTCAAGGAATATTTCAGTGGGTCTGGTGCTGTCATGCAAGTTCATAAATAATCCATATGGCTGAGACCTTCTGTGAGGAAGCCTGCTGTGATAACACCACCCACCAACCTTATCGAGTGTTGTCATGGAGATGGGTATTCTGAAGCCTGGGGGAGTGGGATAAAGAGGAGAAAATCTGGAAATGAAGCACGTACAGGAGGAAACTGTACACTTCTGTTTACTAAGGAGCATTCTGAGACAACAGACATTGAGTCAGATGTGTTACCTATAATTTAAAATTTTAAAAAAAGGAAAATTATCTTTAAAATTAGTAATCAATCATGAATTTTAAATCATCCTCGAGACACTTCCCTATCCTCTGCCAATCAAATGGAAATTCTATTCTTTAAAAAGAAAGAAGAGAGACACACTGTATTTGTACCTTGATTCATTGGGTTAGTCATGGAATAACATTTAAATAAAAGAGAAACCAGGATTTTTGCTACTCTAGAAAGCAGAAAAAACCATAAAATTTAATGATTTGAAAAGAGTAGGAAGGAAAGTAACTGCCAGAGCTGCTTTTGATATGGTCATACCACTTGAAATTGAAAATGGCTCTCTTATGCACTTTAATTGCATGCCTCAACAAAATCTTGGTACCTTATTTTTGTATTTCATATATTGATAAATTATGAACCTACATTAAGTAATTGCACCAAGATCTTATCTTTTTAATTTGCTTGCACTTTCCTGATTAAAAATAAGGATAAGACAGAGGTACTTTACTTAAACTTAGATTTGCAGCTTTTGGGCCTTTGCCCTTCTTAAAAATAATTCTCCTTCAAGTATATATTTACCTCTGTCACTTCATTCTTGCTGCCGGGGAGTAGGAGATGTAACACTGCTCTGGTTGCTTTGATAACTTACCTGCTATGAAGTATAGCTGAATCTTACAGAAATTTAGTCCTTCTAGGCAGACTTCCTGAGCGGATTCTGATTTGTTCCAAAACTTTCATCAGAGGACTCTGGCCAAGAGTAAAAAAAAGGAAGAAAAAAAGACAAAAGAGGCTTTAAAGTATTTTTTATACTCCAAGAGTGTTATTTAGTATCTTAACATAAATATTTTTAATCAAACTGTTTTACAAACTTTTGGTCTTTAGTTTTCCCACTATCTTCCACATGTATTATCAGAATAAAGCACAGAGCTCCAACGTTACCAAGTAGACAGCACACATACACTTATGCATAAGGTTGTAAAATAAGATACAGCAAAACGTAAGCCGGATAACTCTTTTCCTATTTCCCTTGTTAAACAACTGTCAGGTTGACGCTTGACACAACAGTGACAGAAATAACACTATTAAGCTTAAATCATGTGATGGACCAGAATTCCTCTAATGTCTACCATTTATTGCAATAGCTTCTTTGAGTAATTTTTTGAAGCACTTGAAGTTCATCACTAACTTAGAATTTTTTTTCAGTAGTTAGACAGCATCTGCTGCAGGCTGTAATTTAGCCAGTTGATAATGACTCTGCCAGTGGATAAATAGCGGTAAATCAGAAGATTTGGTGGGTGTGTTTCCTGAGGATTACAGTTGTAAAGAACATTTCACTTTAGTTCAGCTGAAAAAAGTTGCTAAGAAAATGGGCACTTGGTGGCATTTGTTACTCAAGCATTAGCTAGCGGGTTTTCGCATCTGTTTTTTGTTCCCCCGCGTGGGCTTAATGAAGGTTTTACCATTCACAAAATGCTGCATTATCAGTCTTTGTGATTCCCTTCTACCAAACCTTGACTTAGTATGCAAAATAACATATAGCCAGGCACATACTCATGTTGAGAAAGCTTGGTTTATCTTATTTACTGAGGCAAGAAATACAGAGGTTTCAAATCACGTGTGAATTCCCCTGCTCTTCTCCCCTCCAGCTAGCACAAACCCCTCTCACAGAAAAAAAACCAAAGCCAAAACCCAGAAAAAACCACTACACTGTTGACATTCCCCCAGAAACTGAGAAGCAGAGTTTTGCTGGGTTCGAAGGGATGGCACCTGGCTGATATGACTAAAGCTAGTCGGCTGTAAAAGGAGAGCTTGCTTGCTTTGCTGCTGGTGGCAGCCCTGCTGGTGAGCTCTGTGTGAGCGTTTGCATAGCAGGGGCATGGGGGAAGCCTTGAGGAAATCTTTAAATAAAGGAGGTGGAAAAAGAAAAAAATAGCTATGTCCACAGCGGCTGTTACAACAAAGCAAAAAAGAGAGGCAGCAAAAATGATCAGTGTAGAAACAAATACTCCTGTTGTCTACTTTTCACCAGCCGGTAGCCAAGGCAGTGAGGAATGATCTTACATGATAGTTTTTTAAAGTTGAAATGCCTGCAGTTGAATAGTTACAGAAGATTTCAATTATACTGCTTTTGTCTGACCGAGAACAATTTTTTAGTCATCATAGAAAGAGGAAAGATTTGAAATGTGATCCAAATGTACTTAAAAACCTCAAAATCAGAAGAAAATAAAAATAACTCACCCGGAACTGCTTGCTTTTTTCCTTGAACTAGCGATCATTTTTGATACATCCTCTTGCCTTCCGGTAGCCCAACTTGTGAATTTGTTAATGCCTCAGGCTGCCAAAAGCGCACTGCTTTGGTAACACAGCACTGCACTGGGCTCGTTTCAGACACAGCAGCTATAGCACACAGCGCTCACGTCCAGCGCACCCCATGGCCGGGCATCTCTTCCTCACTCTTCTCATCTCCCACCTCCACTCCGGGGCTGGGCGCTCCATCACAAAACCCTCTGGCAGGCTGTAGGAATAAGGCAGTTCCCCCGCTCCACTTGTGCTGGTGCTGCATTCCTTGTTGCAGGGGTCTCCGTTGTAGGGTTTGGGGTTTATGGCTAGAAGATTCGGGTAATTGCTCATATTCCTTCCCCCTGACTTGGCCTCTGGGGTCTTCAGACATGGCTCCTGCCTGCTGCTACGGTCTTCCTCAGGCTGGTATGCCATTCAGGCCCTAGTAGGTAGTATAGGGAAAAAGAGAAAATTGTCTAAGTGTCCTCAGGGAGTTTCATCCCTTTTCTGCTGTTTCTGTTTCTTTGGTTTTAATTACTTACATTCATTTTCAAGGCAGAGTTTACATATAAATGTTGTCATTGCAGAAATCTCCAAATCTTAGGTATTCTTATAAATTTTAAAGCAAAGGAACCAGAATCTTTACATCAAAGAAGTCACTAATAAAGTTAAAGGGGTCTGCAGAATTGTGAAGGGAAAAAGAAACAGATAAAGTGATGGGTTAGTGGCAGAGAGGTATGGCTGGTTGTTAGACCAGCAGTACAGGTGTGCTGAAAGGGGAGAAGGTGCAAATAGAAACTGTTGTGGCGGAGTCAGTTTGCTGGAATCTAGAAGGGTACGAAGGTTAGACGAGGCATTTCGTAAAGCTTATATTTTAGTCCTCGGTACAAGAGGCAACCTCCCACCTATTTTTCCCTTTCACATTCAGGGAAGAGTACTCATATATTTGCTGGATTGAAAATCAGTTGTTTGATGCTTTGTAATCGATCTCCTGAAAGAACTAGGATGTGTGATAATTATTAAAAAAGATTATTATTTATTTTAGAAAATCTGAGTGCACGAGTGCTCAAAGATGTACTCTGAACTTATCTGCAAATAATAATTACTAGTGATTAACTAGTAAGA